TCTGACCTCGGGCAATTTATTTTTCCAGCAGGAGAAGAAGACCTCCTCAGCGGTTTGGACGTCAGAGCCAGTTTTCTTATTGTTCAAATGTAGCTGCGTAGACCTATCAGAGCGTTATATTCTTTAACCTCAATGGCAGGTCCATCGATAAGACTCGTGCTGTTTCCAACCAACAAAACTTTGTTTAAAATTCTACCTTGCTGCAAAAGTTTGCAAACATTTCAAACTAAATTACAGGGATGTGTTTGTAAAATAGGTTTCTATTTATTGAAGCATCTTGGGTTTTAATATATGGCTCATTGTGCAAGAATATGAAAAATGAACCCCTCGATCAAGAGCTGCAGATTCAAATAGACATTTTCATGCAATTTGGGTATTTTTGTCGCCGTTCAAGGTCTTTTCAAGACTCAAGAATTAGTTTTGGGTTGTTTTGTGTATTTTATTTGTGGTTTTGCATAATTCTGGAGACATTTTGCATCTCTTTTTGGTAATTTTGAGACTATTTGAGAATTCCCAAGGGCTTGTGCCCAGTATAGTCGGTGCCTATATTGAACAAGTACAGAAATATGGTGCGTAAAATGGAAGTCAAGTCAATTAACATATCTATTTATGCAGAAACTAAACATTCATGGGTTATAAAAGCATCACCTGTTCTCTTCTACCCCCTCAAACTCTTCTAGGTGACAGAATACATGTAGTTTGCACCCAAATTAATTATGCGGTAATGTCTCTCAGGAATTCTCAAAAGCTGTTACATTATATTATTATCATACCATTTGCTAAATTCGTTAATTATCGCCCTGTCGGCTGATCACATACACATCACAGCTGAAGTGTGAGATCTGGTGTAATTGGATTTACTTACTCACAGAGTATGAGAGAAATTCTGCATGCACTCGTTAAGAGGCGATGCACATCCACTTTGGTTTTTGAGAGCGTCAATGTTTGAAAAGATTCATTTAATGACAGGGTAGTGTTGCTGCTGTCAAAACTTCTTTCAGTATTCAAGCAATTCAAAAGCCTTCAATGATTTAGGAATATAGCTTGAAACACTAATTATCCTGACAAGAAAATTCACTTGTTTATATAACCTTTTAAAAGACCTGATAAAATTAAATACTGCACAGCTGAATCAATAATGTTTATTGTACTTTTATTTAAAACATGAGGACAGATATTTGATCAGTTTGTCTGTTTTAACCTGTTTTGCTTACACGTTGGTTTTGAAGATAAGATATTGTTTATTGATCCAATTTGGGAATTTCTTTTGACACAGCAGCATGTAGATAAGACATTACACATTAATTAGAAGTGAATAATACATAAAATAACCAACAAAAATAATTAACAACACAGTGAATATATACAGTATATTCATAATTAAGGATAGTGCATAGACAGTATATTGAATACACAATATAAATATACAGAATTTAAGGCATTGTACATTATGACAAGCCAGACTATCAAACTTACAGAATGTCAACATTGAATACAATATACTATTTATTTACATTTGTATATTTACACCCGAGAACAATATGAGTGAATTTGTGTTTTTGAGAAGGTATTAGCCGGTTTCTCTGAATGATGGTGCCCTGTTTTTCCAAAATAACATCTGTATTTAGGGGTGTCCAAACTGTTTTCACGAGGGCCACATACAGAAAAATATACGAAGGGGCTGGGCCACTCAATAGAGATGAGGTATATTGCCTTATAAGTTAAGTTATAAGTCAGAAAAATTAATCAAATGTAAATTATGCTTGATACTTGAAAATGCAAAAAACAGCGTATATATCACAGCTCTCTATAGGGTTTCATTTATTTTGTTGGCAGCTCATCCCTCAGTTTGCTGATAATAAGGAGAAATATCAAGGGTATATTTCGAGCTTGTTATGTAAATAAGTGATTGGGCCTTTTTTTTTATCAACTAAGATTTTTTAGAACATTTTTCCAACTTGAACTTACTGAATTTATTTGAAAAGTGGGCTTATTAACACATGAATACTACTGTGTAATATATTTTAACGTATATATTTAAGAAGTACAATATAAGACAAGCTCAAGTTTCATTTGTGGGCCATATTAGATGATACTTTTAGAGTTTGCTGAGGGCCGTAGTTTGGACACCCCTGATTTACACTGACTTTATTAAATGACCGTTTTTCCCACACAGCTGTAGCTCCTGAACGCACCGCGGTCCTCGCGCAGGAAGTGGACCTGAAGGCGCGTTTGTTGAACAGAAAACTGTTGACATGACACCGGCTGACAAACACTCAATAAACGGATAAACCTCGGATATTTACGAAGCTTATTTTAACCTGTTTCCACACAGGAAGATTGAACATGGAGTTATCCCCGCTTATAAAGAAAATAGGTAAGCTAACTTAAAGCTAAATCGCTAAAGAGCCTGACTTTATTGATGTAAACAAAGTGTGTTAGTGTATTAGCCTCTTTTATGCTAAGCTAACAATAACACTGTAGATATATCTGACACACTGTTAACGTTCATCTAATTTAAGTATGAGAAGTTGTAGTTAATGTGAAGGCTAACTACAGTAACACATGTCGGTAACTTTTGTAAACTTCAACACAAAGTTAGCTAGCTGTCAAACTAGTCAAAACTTAGATAAAAACAACTAACTGTCAGAAGTGGAAAAAGTACTAATTTATTACCTAAGATAATTACTACAGGTGTTCAAAATCATACGATACAAAAAGAATACAAGTATTGCCATATCAATGTACTGAAAATAACAAAAGTTTTCATTTTGCATCATAGTCCATTTAAGAACAATTACAATTAAAGTATTTTTGATTATGATGCATCACAGCTGGTAAATGTGGAGCTAATTTGATCTAATTTGTGTTGTTTATGTATACATTTATTCATGTTTTGTAGTAGCTAATAATCTAAATCTGCAAACTAACCAAAGCTGTCAAAACAGTGTAAAAAGTACAATATCTTCTTCCAAGTTTTTAGTGATTTAGAAGTCTAAAGAAGCATAACATTCATCCCTTTTCCACCGCTTATCCAGAGTCGGGAAATAGTTTGAAGTATCTCAAAATCATACTTGAATACCTGAACTTTTGAAAGAACATCCATAACATTCATCTGTTTGCAACTTATATATATTAATATTCCAATTGCTTGTATATCGACTATTCTGCGCTATTTCTATTATATTTACTTGCACTATTGTATCTGTTTTATTGTGTTGCACTGTTGGAGGATCCTAATATTTTCATTGATATATCTACACTGTAGCTATGTACACATGACAATCAAAGCCTTGAATCTTGAGTACAGTACTTGAGTAAATATACTTTTTGACAGTCCACCACTGCTAACCACCATAACGTCTCTTCTCCACGTTGTGTTCTTCGTCCTCAGGCCACTCTTTGGTGGAGATAAGAGTGCGAGCGCTGAAGAACATCTTGTGTAAACTGGACCATTCCCTGATCTCCGTCTCAGACATCGTGCAGGAGAAGATGCTGTTTGTGCTTCTTCTCGAGTGGTTCAATTTCCCCGAGGTGCCGATGCAGGAAGAAGTGCTTGAGCTGCTCTCCACGTTATCAAAGGTAGATACATTTTGAGCAGAAAGATGGACATATTTCTATCTGGTTTATAGATATGTTACAAGGTGAGTCCTCAGGTGGGCAGAAGCTAGACAGGAGCAGTCTACCAACTCTCACAATATGCTGATAAACTTATAATGTAGTTTTGGGGTTCAGGCTTTCTTTGACAAGTCGAACCAGACTTTAACCAGTATGTTAAAGTAGGATCAATATTCTACCAATGTATGTTTTGATAAAGTTTAATAACAGGCTTAAATGGATATTTTAAATGTGGGTTTTATGAGGTACTTATCCATAGTCCGTTCATGTGTGTTGGAGGAGGGGCTCTGTGAGGAAGTCTGAAGGAAGGGGCAGATTCTCTTCGGCTGCGTACTTTCAAATTCT